AGAAGGTTGGAGGTGTTGGATATGCAGGGAGTGGAAACAGGGCCAAGCAAAGCGCAAGAGCCTGGGAGGAGGAAGGGATGAAGTGTGGTCAGAGCCTCGGTGCCTTGCATTAGCCTGGAGGACCGGGAGGGCAGCGTCTCCGTGGACCCTCCCCTCGATGGGGTCCCATGGGGCTGTCCAGCAGAGGTGCTTCCAGCTCCTGGCCTTTCCATAGGCCTCTGGGGAGTGCCTGGGAAGGCAAGCCATGCAATGCATTTGCACGAGACGATGGCCTCTTTCGCTGTGGAAGCAGGACTCTTCCAGGACCTCATGGGAGGCCCGGGCCCGATGTGTTCTCCATTTCATAGCACCGGTACCAGCTGATGCCGGATTAATTGTGGCGCATGGTGATTCCACACAGGTCCGGGTGGAAATGGGCTCCACAGTTTCCAGTGGCTGATTTTTCGGAGCTGGATGGTTCTCGGCTAGCCCGAGGACAGGAGGGGGCAGAGAGTGGACTGGTTGTTCTTCACAAGCTCCCTGTCCCTGTCCATTCTCCGTGTGCCTCTGCCTGGCTCACGCCCTGGAAGGCTGACCCCGACACTTGCGTTCATGTAGCGTCCTGCTGGACTGGTCAGTGGGCAGCAGCAGCAGGAGATGAGACGAGAAGGGTGGGTATTTGTTCCTTTGGCTCCGCCCTGCCGCAATGCACTCTGGGCAGCAAGGGCACACCCACCTGCAACAGGTAGGGTGCCAGCACACTTTCTTCCACAGAGGGCCAGAGAGTATAAACGTTTTAAGCGTTGTCAACTTAATGTGCAAGGACATAAAACCGAGGGTCTTAGGTGGGTACTGACGAAACCAGTTGAAATGTGACCAGTGGAAAGCCGCCTTAGCTTTTGGGCCATACACACAGAGGTGGTAGGGTGATGGTCGGAGCTGCTCTTGGGCGGCTGCTTCCGTGGGGTCCCAGCTCTGGGGCTCCACTGACATCATTTCTCACCTTGCCCTGGAGAGCTGGGGTGGACAGCGCCTGAAGCTGGTAGGGCCTAGCTCCCTCACCACCCCCGTGGGCTCCTTTAGCCTTAAGCGTGCCCCTGTGAGTTTCTTCATTCAACAACTGCAGTCTGACCCTTGGCATATGCTTTCTGTTTCCTTCCAAGACCCTGACTAATCCAGGGGAAAGGTGTAGAGTCTAAGGTACCAAATTGTCCAGGCCCAGGGACGGTCAAAGGCTTTGTGAGCTCAGCTGAGTGTGAACACTGGGCTGGAAGATTAGCTCTCTCTCCGGAGAAAAAACACACTCTACTTCTTCTGAAGTCCCGTGTGTGTTTTTAACCTCAAATGCTCTGCTCTTCTCTCAGCTGCCCAGCCCAGATAGGCTTAGGAGTAGCTCTTGGGTGCCTTCTTTGTCCTCAAAGAGATGGAAGAAGAGTGGCACCTGCCGTGGATGGAGAGTCCCAGACTGATCTGCCTGGACCTCAGGAGAGAGTATGCAGGCTGGTGCTCTGGGCTGATGCCATGGTGACACTGCATGGCTCATTGACAAGAGATGGTGGGGTCTCTCTGGTGACAAGGGGCAGGGCTGTGGATTGAGGATTTAAAGATGAATCGCACAAAGTTGGTGTACCTGGGGGGTGGTCAAAATTGATTGGGAGAAGGCTTATGAACACGAATAATCACACCCACGGGCTCTTGACACACCTGTCACCTGGCTCAGTAAGTGTAGGACAGGGCTGCTCCACCAGGCCAAAGAGACAGGGTGTGCCCGAGCTGTTTAGCAATTCTGCCAGCACCAGCCTGGCACTTTTGGTGATCCCATGAGATGCAGATCCCAACCACCGAGCCTTAATCCGGCCCTTGGGTCTGGGGTGAAAATGCACCGGTGTGAAAGCTCGCTGAGACGCTGGATACAAATCACCAAGTGTGAGCACGGCCTGCTGCTTGCCTTCACAATCCAGGCACCTCACTTTCAGCCATCAGGGAGCCTCCCACCGAAGGCGACTGGACCCTTCTGTGACAGCTTCTATTTAAAAAGCAGGCATGCCAGGAACCCGCTTCAAAGGCAGAGAGAAGAGAGACCAGGAGTGAAGAGAAGAGACTCTCCATGGTGCCCCGGATAGGGCGACTAACACCAAAAGAGGCTAGAGGCTGGGGCAGGAAAGAGGGTCAAGGTTGAGCCCAGGAGCCAGCTAATCCGAGTGGTTCACCCATCTGAGCGAGCATGGTCTCCCTCCCCCGAGGGCTTGCTTAAACCCAGACTGCTGGGCCCCACCGTAGACTTTCTGACTCAGCAGGTCTGTGGCGGCCCCTGGGCATCTGCATTCTTCGCAGTTTCCAAGTGGTGTTGCTTCTGTGATTCGGGACCTGGATTTTTGAACCGGTGGCTTCTCACACACCTCCAAGGGAGGCAAGGACCAGAGGCTTGCGGGGGTGGGGGTGGGGGGGGTGGCCTGGGAGTTGGGGCAGTAGAGGGGCAGGACTCTCGCTGAGGGAGTGCGGGTGTGATGTTGGAAAAGGGAGGCACTGGGAGTAAGAGGAATTTCCCCACGATGACATAAAGCCAGAGCACTTTGGTGGTGGTGGTGGCTCTTGTGACTCTGAGACCTTAGGTGTGAGGCAGTGACTAGAGTCTGCGTTTCAATTTCCAGCTCTCCCAAGTGCCTCTGACACTCAGCCAGATTTGGAAACCTCTGAATACTGAGTGAGGAGCCCTGGTGTCCCAGTGGATTGAGCACTGGGCTGTTCGCTACAAGGTCCGCAGTTTAAACCCACTGGCCACCCTGGGGGAGAAAGATGGACTCTCTGTTCCCGCAGACATTCGTGGTCTTGGGAATCCCAGGAAGCAAGCCGGTGCCGTCTATCCTTGAGGGTGGCTGTGCACCAGAAGGACTCTCTGGCAGAGGGCATGCTTAGCATATGGGAGCACCTGGGACGTGACTCACAACTACTCTACAGGACAGAGTAGAACTGCCTCTGAGGGTTTCCGAGATGGGACACTTTGAAGGAAGCCGATAACCTCATCGTTTTTTTTTTCATGGAGATGGGTGGATTTGAACTGTTGACTTTTGCAGTTAGCTCCTTGGTACATGGTAGGTGCACAACACTGACAGAATGGATACTCATTCCGAGTGAATGTTGAGAAGGTTAGGTTTCTAAATGTCTTTGTCCAGATCCTTCTTGATTTCCCAGAATTCAGCCCTATACCACCCACCCACAGAGGGGCAATATGCTCTTAAGCTGACGTTAGGGCCCGGAAATACAATGAATGTTCTTTTTAAGCCCAGGGTTACAGAAACGCAAGCCTGGCTGTCACCAAAGAAGCCGTGTTCGTGCCACTAGGTACAGATGCCGAGGGGAAAACGACACAATAGAAAACTCCCTTTCTCCCTTCACGTCGGACAGGACAAGATATGACAAAATAACAATTTATAAATTATCAAGGGTTCATGAGGGAGGGGGGAGCGAGGAGGGAGGGGACAAAAAGAGGACCTGATGCCAGGGGCTTCAGTGGAGAGCAAATGTTTTGAGAATGATGAGGGGAATGAATGTACAAATGTGCTTTACACAATTGCTGTATGTATGGATTGTGATAAGAGTTGTATGAGCCCCTAGTAAAACGATTAAAAAAAAATGATGAGGGCAATGCATGTACAAATGTGATAAAAAAAAAAAGAAAACTCCCTTTCTTCCTCATCGCTGAGATTCTACTTGGCTCCTTCCTGTCTGCGCAGGCAGGGCAGGCACACCACTGCGTGCTCCACATTAGAACAGAACTGGAAGCAAACAGCAGTTGCTAGCCAGGTGAGCTGCATTTTGCCCACATCTTCCAGAGTTCAGTCTATTGTCCCGGGGGTAGCTTATCTTAGAAAAGAATCTCAGTGCTTTCAGTACAGCACCGCAAGCCCGGGCGTGGGCTTGCTGGACCACGAGAAGACAATCCACGGAATTTGACATGGTGTGTCTTTTGATTTCTTAGTGGAAGGGCTGATCTAATCTGAGCCAATAACTCTGGGAAACGACTAATATAATTTTGTTGGAATTGAAGAAGGGGTAAGACTTGGGCGCGTGCGCATGTGTGTGTGTTTATTTTCCTGGTGTGGTGGGGAGCATTTGCTCTGATATTGAATCTCAAGGTTGGCCCAACTCTGCTTGCAGTCTGGAGCTGGAGGCTAGGACCTGACTTGGGGCGTCAGATTCTAGAAGGTGGGCAGAGCGAAGCTTCACCCCATTGCCTCTTTCTCCTTTTTGAAACGAGAGCGTGGGGGCTGATCCTGTCTTAGAGTCCTTCCTGGGACCCTCTGACAATTGGCATCCTGCTGAGGCTGATGGGAAAGGCAAGAGAGGTAGGACCACATGGATTTAAAGACATCTGCAGCCAAAGGGGATAAGAAAAGAGGGCCTTCAGGAAGTGTTGCCTGCTGCTGATGGTATAACCTTTCCCAGCAAGCCAAGAAGGTTTTAAGCCCTCAACGTGTGGAGGGAAGAGAGACGGTGGAGGAAAACGTGGATTTGCTCGCAGTCAGAGAGAGTGAATTGAGAGTCAAGGCCACTCCAGGGCTTCTCAGCACCCCACGGTCCCCTTGGTGCCCCAGTACTCAGAGGAGAGGTGCAGGAGACGGGGCAGCAGGCAATGAGCCGGGTTTGTGTGAAGGTCAAGGGGGAGCCCTGGCCCCATTTATGGGGAGCGGCACTGGCTACTGCATGAAGTTAGGAGATGTCATGCGAATAGGGAACAGCCCCCTGGGGTTGCAGCTCCAGCCACGTGACTCACAGCCCTCCCTTTCCAATACGCTGTCCTGCTGGTCTGACCAGCCTGGTTCTCAACGTAGGTCATAAGGAATCGCGAAAGTAATCGCCCGCTCTTTCTTCCAAGCCCGTCATTTTAGAATCCCGCCGAGGGCGGCTGGATTTTGGTTTGACGTGCTATCGCGTCCGATGAGCAGATTCTTCCGGTGCCAGGCGTTGGCCTGGAAAGACGACAGGTCTGCCAGGAAGGAGCGTGAGCGAGAGGCGCCTACCTTGATGGGAGAATACCACTTCCGGGGCGAAGAGGGCCTCCGCAGGTGGCTGTTGAGATTGCGCGGCTCCGGGAACTCGTACTCCTGCTCGGGCATCTTGACTCTCGCATTCTTTGCCTTCTCCAACTTAGCCCCCTCTTCTGTGGAGCCCTTTTCTCCCCAACGAACCTAAAACACACGGAATGCCATCAGACAAAGCGACGCCCCGCGAGTCCATGTGCCTCGCCTCGGTGGTGCAGCGGTTAGGGTTGGGGGTAGCTCCAGGCTAGGCCGGAAGGAAGAGCTGGTCTGGTACACTCTCCCATGGGGCTGCTGCCAGTCAAAACCAACACCCATCACAGTAACAGGTGGGAGGGGTCCCTTGGCTCCTGCCGAGCTTGACTGCTAACCTAAAGCTTGGGCATTCAAGGCCATGCCGAGCTACCTGGGAAGAAAGCCCTGCAGTTCTTGTCTGAAAACCCAATGGAGCACAGCCCTTCCTGGGGTGCCATGAGCCAGGAATACCTTGGTGGCCAGCGAAAAATACGGCGGTGACAGCCTGAGCTGTCCACGGATCCTCAATTCTATTGGGTTTGAAGGGACAGAGGACAGGTGTGTGTGGGGGGGGAGCTGATGGGTCCGTCAGGGGGAGCAGGTCGTGTGGGTGGCCACGTAGAGGCTGCGGCACCCAGCCTGTGTGAAGGCCTTGTGGGCCCAGGTAAGCACTTAAGGCTTTATTCCCGTGAGAGAGGAGAGAGAGAGACCATTGGGTAAGGGTCGGGAGGGGGGTTAGAGCAGACAGTGGGTCTTCTCTGTCCCTCAGCGTCTGGGCTCTGGGGCTGTGCCTTTATAAGGCTGGGTCTCTCCGCATCTTTCTGCCCCCTACCGACAACCTGCTGACTGGACCTCCAGGAGTAGCTCTGGCTTGTTCGCTTGCATCTCCATCCCTGAGCCGTTGGTAGCCAGGCAGGTTCACCCAGCTCCATGCTCACGGCTGTGGAGTTGATGTTGTCTCCTAGCAACCCTGTGGGACAGGGTAGGATTGCCCCTGTGAGATTCCCGGACTGTAACGTGAATGGGAATAAAAAGCCCCATCTTTCTCTCGTGGAACAGCAGGTAGTTTTCGAACTGCTGACCTTGTGGATGGCAGCCTGACGCATCACCACCATGCCACCAGGGCTCTGCTGCCTGAGACCGTCTATCACGATCTCCCTTAAAAACCAAACAAAACGACCCAGCTCCCTGCCACCAAGTTCCTTTCAACTCATAGCAACAGTGGAGAACTCTAGGTAGACTAAGATGGGATAGAACAGCCCCCTGTGGGTTTGCAAGGCTGCCACTGCTCAGGGGAGTAGAAAGGCCTGTCTTTCTCTAGAGGAGCCCCCGGTGGTTTGGACCTGCCAATCTTGTGGATCACAGCCCACCTCTGCCACCAAGGTTCCTAAGCTGTGCACTGACCTCCATCCTTTTGATGCCTCCTACGCCCCGCCCACCGTAGTAAGAGGCGTCCACTGTAGGCCACTTCTTCTTCGGCAGGCCATCGTCGTCTTCTTCCTGCAGAGAGATGGCACCAGGTGAATCTGCTGCGGACTCACGCCGGGGCTGTGACTACCGAGTTCAGGTCTCTATGGCCCAGTGGATGAGGCAGCGTGCTAGGCGATGTTCCCATGCTACCACTTGGTCTCCTGGCCCTGGGCAAGTCACCATGCATATTTTCCTAATCTATAAAGTGTGTGTCGGGGGGGAAGCAGGACTCACGTGGTGGGGTTGTGGCTCAGTCCCTGGGCCTGTGCGTTCCTGCAGCTCTATTCCTTGGGAAAGAGTCCCTGAGAGGCACGCAGGAACTAAGCGAAAGGCTGGACCTGGAAGCCCTCGCCACTGTTCTCTGGAGGGAAGGTCTGGCAGACGGATTCCCAGAGGGTCTGCACATGTGGGGTGGACATGAGGGAGAAACAACTCCGGGGTCACTCACAGCAGCTGGCCTGCGCAGGGGCCCTTGTCTCCTCCCACCTCCAAAGTGATGAGGCCTGGATTTTTATCTTCAGCCCTGGTTGCCCACTCACCTCTACCCCTGGAAGCTCATTGTCACCTCCATGATACCGTGCCAAGACGTCCTGACTTTATCTGACGTCAAAGCGACTCCTCCC